AAAACAATAAAATAAAAATTAGACAACAGAAGAGAAAGAAAGGGCAAAGTGCATCTCATCATCTCTGGTTGCCCAGGAATCAGTCAATCAATCATCAATCATCAGCCACCACCTTTTTCCTTCCCTCCTTCTGCCCACTCAAACTAATTGAGTCAATTTGACAGGCGACCCCAACTTTTTTCTCAGGGGTTGGTCCGTTCCTGTGCCTGAATTGTGGATTGATTTGCTTGGTTGCTGCTATTCCCTATTAATCATCTCATTTCATCTCATCTCCCAGATCCTCCCATTATATTTTAATTTTTATTTTTTATTTCCTGCTTCTGCTCCTGCGCCTGCTATCAATCTATTACTCCGTAGACTACGCAGAACTATCCTCCGATCATATGCAGAATGGCAATGTACCTAGGCACAAACTAGACACCAAAGAAAAGCTGGGGTTCATGCGACTAGTAGGGATGCGGATGCAGGAAAAACACTTTGCAGCTCCATACGATGGTTTTCCGGTCAGCAATCGGCCAACTAACCGAATCAACTAGTGACGAGCTTCGACTACTGCTGCCTGTAAGTCTTGAGAAGGAGAGAGACGGCACTAGACTAGATAGTAGGGAACCAAACGTTCTCAGCTCCACAGGTTCCCTCTCGTGCCACTCCTCTCCCCGAGAATAGAAACAAACATTGGCTTCTGCAGGACACGACAGACCCAACAAACAAACACCCACCTTCTTCCTTCCACCACGTTCATCTGGACTCCTCATGATTGTTGCTGTCATCATTCTCTCGCATGGCTTAGACATTTTGAGCCCTGATTTGATTTTATTTCCTAAATTGGTACTGGAAAGTCTCAACAAACTCGTGCTCTTGCGTCAGCTCCTCCCTCAAGAATGCAAGCCCACCTGCTGCATCATCCATCCATTGTTATCCTTCCGATCGACACCGGCGGGCCTCCCACGATGAGGATGATCCCCCCCTGGTCTTAGTCTTTGGTCATGCTCATCCTCATCCATCTGCCGGTTAACCCGTTAACTACCTACTTAATTCAACTAGCTGCTGGGTTAATAATTACCGACTGTCTATCTAACTAACTAAATAACTAACTAATGAACCAACAATCCATCCCACCGGCATCTTACTAATTCCATCCACCTCTTGGTTGTGCTGCGTGACCTGCCTTGGCCACCCATTTGGTTCCTTACTTCCGCTCAATCCACCTTCTAAGTGAGGGTGGCTTGCGTATATAGGTTATAAATCCCGGAATCGCCCACTTTTTTCCCCTTCCCTTGTTTTCCGGTCCGATCGCGTCCGGAATGCTGTCTTGTGTCTTGCCTGTCTGAGGCGGAGCAAGATGATGATGATGATGCAGCCATCCAGCCGGTGAGTTTTGCCTCGATCAAAACCGACGGAATACGACAGGTGGATGTCGCCACGGTACCGATGGAGTCGCACTCTCACTCGTGGCGCGCCTCTCTGTTACTAGCACTGCCAGCATACGTAGTACTACCATTCCATTCATTTTTTTATTTTATTTTATTTTATTTTCTTTTCTTTTTTTTTTCGCATCAATTAAATCCACCATAGAAAAGGACTGGAATATATCCGGACTCCGCCGGCACAGCTGGCCGATCATCCTAGTCTTCGAACAGATGTCCGACCTGCAGCAGAATTCCATATTGCTTTTCTCAGCCCTGGCCCGATCGTCCCGCGGTGTCTGGCTCCGATTTGTATCGGATTGACGGCTGCTGCTGGAACCACCACTACTATTGACTAGTTGATACTATAGTAGTATCCAGTAACTACACCATGACATTGTGACTGGATGCGTGTGTGCGTGGCACAGCTGTGACCCATAGTTTCGAAAGGCAGACAAAGTATTTCCAGAGCATCTAATGGCACAAATCTTGATTCCAATCAATGATGTGGTCTCGACCAGAGTGTGTTGGGCCGGTTCGTAATGTCTTTCAACTCCCTCTGCACCCGGACTTGGTTTGACTGCCTACTGGATCTCATAGTTAGTGGCCTGTCCAATCTAGGCTTATCGTTTGGATCGACAAACAACGTCATCAAGCGGTTCAGTGTTACAAAGTACGGCAGCATGCATCGATAACCGGGCGAAGGTCTCGCTCTGGCCAAGCCAAAGAATGCTTAAGATGTCATCGGATTCCCGAACAGTCAAAGGCGGGCGAGGAAGGACCACCGTCCCCTCAGAGCTTATCTCCGATGGGTTTCATACCGCAATGTGGCTCGTTTGAACTCTGATGGATCACTGTTCGAAGCCATTGAGATAGATCGAGTGGACCCTCCATCACCCAGGTGAAAGGATTATTTGGCGATCTGATTCCGGCGCCAGTCTCATATAAATCGCCCGATGGCGCTAGTTTATCGTAACGGTCGTTTGACATTGAATGGCTGGGTCGGCGTCATCTCAATCCCGGTTTTCAATTGACTAATTACTTAAGACCTACTTCTGGGTCTCTAACACATTCAGCCAAAATCTACTAATGTGAACCATCGGTTTTCTGCATAGATAATGGGATTTTCTAGGTCAGTCTAGTGTTTTCTAGCAGCTTGAGACCGCAGCTGGGGGCGGCTACTAGAGAAAAGTAAAATGGCAAATCGTGACTATTGCCCGCTGTCAATCCACTATGTACTGTAGACACAAAATTGGCTTTCTGCTATTGATTCATGTGCAAGACTCACATGTGGTCTGTAATTACTAGATACCAATGAAAACGAAGTAGTAATCCATGACATCAACCATGGCTCGGATAGTAATTCTAGAGTCAAGCTACACTATGCACCAGGATGAATGGCCAAACTGACACCCAGCAACTGGGTATCATATGATGGTAAGATGCCAGTAGAACATCTGAATTGATTACAATTCATCGAATGTGACTGCTGGTTAATACATCTGAAGTGGGGAGGCACTAGTGGCTATAGAAGCCATCGACTATCAACCAAGATCAAAGTGAATTGGAGCTTGCCGCGTCGGAGGTAAGCCTGTCTTGGCAACCTCCAACTGGTCGCGCGGTCTCATCTGAATAGCTCCGACTCGTTGCAACCTACGCACCACCCACATCTTTCTCTACTTCAAAGTCTCAGTCACCGACCCCCTCGGTCCTCTGGCTCGTTCGAGAGCATCGTCGTCGCGTCATGGAGCAGCCACCCCCAAGCGATCAACCACAACAGCCTCCGCCTCCGACCCTCACAAACCCTCGCTTCACCCTCGAGCTAGAGTTTGTGTCTTCTCTCGCCAATCCCTACTATCTGTCCCACCTCGCCGTGACATATCCGAATCTGCTGGGCATAAACAAGTCCGGTGATGACAGCGACGTGAACAATGATTCCGCAGACCCTGACGCGCAGGCATTTGCAGCATACCTGGCCTACCTCTATTCCTACTGGAAGACCCCCGAATACGCTCAGTTCCTGACCCATCCCGGTGCCACTTTGCGGGCGCTACGACTACTGCAGGAGGAGAATTTCCGTCGCGACATCATTCGCCCCGACGTCATTGAAAGGCTAGCGAGGACCGATGTCGCCGCCGAACCCGTCGAAGCAGCCGCGGAGTCTGGAGAACAGGAGGGCGAACAAGCCAAAGCAAGCTAGGGATATGCGCAGTGACACTGGAAATAGCAGGAAACAGGCGTGCTGCACATTGGGCTCGATGTGGATTGGTTCGGTGGTTGGCCCGGAACGATGTCCTGCTCAAGCTCAGGCCACTGTCTTCTACTACTTGGCTGCGGAGAGGGGTAAAAATTGAGACACGATATCAGAAGATCTGCACGGGGCATGGGCATGGGCAATGTTTGTCGATATTGGGACACCTTGATGCACCGCGGTATATGCTGCAGTCCTAATGCAACCCCAGATGGTTCATGATCTCCCCGGAGTCATGTGTGACCGAGGTATCCCCTGATCAGCCATGGAACCGGCTCATTATTGGAGCTACCAAATATGCACCTCGACAAGCACTCCTCAGGATCATCGACATACTCCTCTCTGTTTAGCTGGGATTTCCGAGCTATTCCGGTTGAGATTGCTCGATGGAGTCCTGAGCGGGCCTGGCGCCGATGTAAGAGACGGAGAGGAATATGCGCACCCTAGAGAGCAGTCAGGTGTACGACACGACAGGAAATACCCCAAGCATCCAACAGGTTCGTTTTACAAATGACTCTGAGATGCCCAGATTCTTCGCTCTCAAGCCATAGGAGGAGCAGCATCGGTCCCTGATATTCTGCCTATGACGTTGCCGTGGGGTTGTATTAGGTTGCAGGGGGAAAAACTCTCTTGGGTACCTGCTCTCTTGTAGATCGAGCATATAAGCCAATACTGATAGACCAATTCGAATGAAAGAAAATTACATCATATCATCTAGAGAGTAGCCTATGTAGGAAACATCAAACACCAAGTTCATATCATGGACAATTCATCTGGTATAAGGGCAAGTTCTGCGACCGCCTAACCGTGACGCGGCCGAAGCGGCGCGCCAGGCTGAATTTCCCGAGCAGGCCGTTGGTTCAATCTCGCCGCGGCAACCCAACACTAAACTTATTGCCATCCGCCAAAGAACCGGAGAGCGACACTTTTCGCTTCTGCCTCGCTTGCCAACCTCCGCGGTTGACAGTGTTCCTCTTTCTTCACTCAATCCCCCACCTCCTTGTTCAGGCTGGGTAACTACTAGTATCTCCGATGGATCGACCCCACCCGTGGTGATTGCAACTCGACCTGGAAGCCCTGTCCTCTCTCCTCTCCTTTCCTCTCTCCTTAAACCACGTTGGCCGTTGCCGCAACCCCGTTCATCCCCCAGTAAGGCCTTAGCGACGTGCCACACCTTACTTCCTCATGGTCTTTTCTTGTTACAGATCCTTAATCAGTCCTTTGAATATACTTCCATCCAGGTGACCAAATCGGTCACCGGATCTGCACCCTGTTTTATTACAACCGTTGAAAATCTGCAGTATACAGTCATCGGGTAATCGCCCTGCAAATCACTTCGCCCAATGGAGGGCGTACGCCAGTCATGTCGGCCAAAGCATCAGGTCTTGGTTCTGAAATGCTATCCACAATACCAGAAGGGGATTCCGGAAGTCAAGCCGAATCCGAGTGAACTTTCCTATCTGCTCTACTATGCGAGCACTCGTCGCAGCAAGCTGACCAAGGTCGGCGCTTTCCTGGAGAAACGGGCCGCTCGGGATGTCTGGCGCCGCAAGATAGGGTATGTTGTGAGGACTAGATACACTCGGGGGATCTCTGTGGATGACGGGCTGACATGTTCTGGTAAAGCAATGTACAGGTGACACTTCAGATTCTCACCGCGCTTATCGAGAAAGTGCCCCGCGACCTCCCCATCTACGCCCGCTCCGTGCTGACGGTAATTGAAACCGTCCTACGCTCCCGTGATATCACAATCGTGGAAGACTCGATCGCGACCTTCGAAATGTTCTGCCGCCATCAGGATATGGCGGCGTTGTCGGCCGAACAGGACTTTGCGACACAATACCGCGAGGTTGTGCGGACGTATGCGAGCTTCGCTGAGGTGCATTCGCCCCAGTTGGATCCTGCTTCTAGCGGCCCTGCGGCGATACGGTGGCGCAATGCGGGACTTCGTGCGATCAAGGGAGTGGTCAGTTCCGAGGCGGGCTTGGCTGCCGATGGTGGAGATTCGTTGAGGATCATATTGCCGGTCATTCTGGAGAACGTTTGCCACGGAGATGAGGATGTTATCCCGTCTCTGGAACAGCAGCTTATGGAATCGGAGAAGAGCAGTGAGGCGGATCTTGCGCACCGGCGCCGAATTAGCAACGCTACCGTGCAGACTGTCGACACCGTGACTGGTGATCCGGCCTTGGCTTCTCAATCCGCGGCTGATGCAGACAAGAAGGCGGAAATGGATGTGAGGCTGCTCGCTCTCAGCTGCCTTGAGCGCATTGTTGTTACTGGAAGCAGCCGTGGTCAAATCCGTGTGACCACGAAGGTTGTATTGGACTTCATGCTCCGCAGAAACCGAACCACCAGCTTGGGCTTGTCCTTGAACTCGCGTGATAGCTGGGCTACGTCGTTGATTGAACTGGTCGCGAAGTGGTGCCCGGTGCAGGTCCGGTTCATCATCTTGGTTGCCGCCATGGAGCTTCTATTCGATGTCAACCCTAGAGAGGAAGCCCTAGATGAACCTTTCATCATCGTCTACATGATTGACTGGTTGCTGAAGTCTCCTGTGAACATGATCGGTCTTAGCGTTATCGATATCCTTTTGGGTCTTCTGCAGCATATGTCATTTTTGCTGTCGCCTGCGGGTTCGGAGAAGCAAGTCGAACTATCTGGGAAGAGAGCAGATCTGATTACTCTCTTCCAGCGGTGCATTGGAGACCTTACGACACATATCTACTATGGCGATCAAGTTGTAGATATGATTAGAGTAGTCCTGACTCGGATCAAGCCTTCATCCACCCACGAACATCCTGCACAAGTTTCTAACGATTCTCCCGGAGCTGCTTCGCAGGCTGGAAGTCTCACTGGGGAGGCCAGTTCGATCGCGTTTTCTTCCACTACCGGACGGGTTGCCGCACTTAGAGCTATCAAGAACATTCTGATGGTAGCGAACTCTCGGAATCCCGCAGCTGTATCTGGCGTGGAGTCCAGGAACCATGTCGGAATCCACGTCTGGGAAGGGACGCAGTGGTTGTTGCAGGAACGTCAAGGCGATGCGCGTTACGCATATGCTGATGCGTTACTGTCCTGGTTGAAACTCGAAACAAATCAGAGCGACTTGACCGTCAAGGATAAGCACGCAAAACCCTCAATCCCCAAAGGGGAACTAACGGATGTCGGCGAGAGGACTGGAAAGCGATCAGTGTCTACGGCGATGCAGAGAGAGAAGGCTGCCATAGCAGCTCAATTCAACTTCCTCCGAATGCTCCACCTGACTATTTATGACATCGCGCTCGAGAGCCCGACTAGCATTTCTGAAATCAGGTTGCTTCATTTGATCTTGGCCAGCCTTGTTGATAAGCTCGGGGTCAACGCCGCCCGTTTTGGACTGCCTATGGTGCTGAAGCTTCAAGATGATATGAACAGCGCTCCAAGCCTGGCATTCGGTTCTACCAAGGTCAATATCGGAAGCTTGGTGTATGGATATCTGTGGGCTTTGTCTGAGCGATTCGAGCTGGGATCGACAGAGGTAGGCCAGGCCATTCAAGGAGAGATCTCCAAGAGGCAACAGCTTGGCCTTTGGCTTGACCCTATCCGCTTGCCCGCCGCTGATCTCGACCAAATCCTACAAGGCGGAGATCACCGTGCCACCGGTAACACCACGAACACTGATCAGATGACTCCCTTTATCACCGACGTTGAGCACCTTGTTCGTGGCATCGAAGATGCATACAACCATGCCGCGCTCGTCTCTTCTCACAGCCCTCCGGGCTCCCCAACGCGCAGCTTCACTATGCCTATCCTGGGACATGGATCAGTTTCAGCTCCGCGCGGTGATCTTCTTCCTCCGCTCGTTAGGGAGCAGATGCTTTCGGCATGGTCCCGAGAATCATGCCTTGCAGCCGCGGAGCGGGAGAGGACCGAAGCATTGTCCCTCAATGGCTCCAAGGCCGGAACAATGGCGATACGCAGTCACATTTACCTGAATGGCGCAGACGGCAGTTCGCCATCGACTACCTCGCCTCCATCCGCGCAGCAAAGTGCAGCAGGACTGCACAACTCGCGGCGGATGAGCGTCCCCGAATCTGCCCGGGGGCACGCTCAGAGCACTAGCAGGGAGTCCCCGGTTCATATCAACGACCTGCGTCGTGTGCTTTCCATCAACGATCAGGACAAGATGCGCCGGTTGAGCCCGCTACGTGGTCGACTGGATGCTTCCAACCGCAGCGTGGTCTCGTCTAGCAGCGAGAGCATGGTCAGCGGTTATTCCTTGTCTGAGATTGACGGAGACGGAGCTTCGATCAGGCCTCAGTCGACTAGGGATGGACACGGTCTTCCGGACGGCGACGGCATGGTGACTCCCAAAGCTTCCGCCCTAGGATACACAGAGAATGGCCAAGCCTACTTCATGGCCGCAGACGATATTCCCCCTGTGCCCCCGATTCCCCCGTCGTTGTCGGTCACCGAAGGCATGTCGAACGACTCGCAGCGATCCCTGGCCTCAGAGCGACCATCGACTGCACCAGGGCCGCGTCGGCTGCCAACAGCAAACGGCAAGCCCGGCACACCTGCCGCACCTCACCACGGCAAATCTCTCAACAAGCACAAGAGCCGGTCCAGCACGGGTCTCGCAGCTGCAGCGGCTGATGGTGACTACTCCAGAGGCCATGTCTACGACGGGGTGCCAGACCTGTCCGAGCCAACGGACAGTGCCCAGCGCCGTGACGTGCAGAACCTTCTGAACGGGTTCTTGTCCCCGGCACATGCAGAGTCGCAGTCGCGCCCCGGCAGGCCCCGTGGTGCTTCTCGGCGGGGCATTACTGGAGGAATCGGCCGTCCGCCTTATTGATGATGTATCCTCCTTTGGAGAAATACTCTCCTTCATATACTTTTCTTTCCTATTTTCCGACTATTGCATTTGCATTACTTACTTCCATCCATCCGGGTCTTCCACCAGGTTGTTCGAGTCATGATCGTCGAGGCCCATGATATATCCCATCTTTTCGTTTGCTTTCAACAACCCTTTCGTTCCTTTTCTTCCTCTCTGAACATTCCATTCCTTGTGCCAAATACCTGCCTGCTACCAATTACTACCTAACATTTTTCTCCTTTGTTACTTACTACTACTACTACTACCACCACCACTTATATGTCTGTCTCACTATTACCACGCGCATGCGTCAGTATGGATGATGCATTGTCTATTTATGCATGATCATTAATAATGGCCGTCTGCGATGGACTAAACTGACGGACTGTGATTGATTGATTGATTGATTTGATAGAGCTGTACTGCGTACACTACTTGCTTGCTTACCTACCTACTACATGCGGTATTTTCGTCATTTCTTATTGTTTTTGTTATTGCTGGCTACTGTATCTTTTCCCTGATTTCATTTTTTGGATATTACCTGCTGCTGCTGCTGCTTCCAATTCATTTACTTGTTTCTTTATTAGCTTAGCTTTTCATGTTCGTTTCCAGTGGGGGCTCCTTCTCTGGCTGTGATGATGATAACCCGATGTAAGCATAATGGATTGCAGCTTAGTGCCAGTCAGTGCATTTGCATGTATTTAATAGTACCATCATTGCATTCAGTAGTGCTACTAGAATTAGTAGTGAAGTACTTAAAAGTATAGAATAGAAATTAGTAGCGAAAGCGAAGAGTCGGAATTGAAGACAACAATCTGAACCAACTGAACTAAGGCTAGTAGTTGAAACCGGGTATAATATATAATAATATTACTCCGTAGTAGCGCCGTAACTCTTCTTCCCCTCTACCATGATCATCATTTTCCTCAAAGAAAAGCAAACGCAAAAAGCAAAGCGAAAGAAGAAAGAACCGAATCAACCAATACTAGTAGTAACCTCCCTGGCTCACCAATTTCGCCCTCTCATCAATTTCGACCTCATCATCGGGAATCTCCACCTCGATGGGTCCCAAAAACTCTCTGAAAATGTCCACCAGCTCCTCCTCATCAAATTCCATGTGCCCGCCCTTGAGTGTTCTAAACACCAACCCACCCCGTTCATCCAATTCCCTCAACCCGATCCAATCTTCCTTGTAGATACTCCTCTCCCTGACTCCTACCACACCGCCAGATTCCCCATCTACCTCTCCAAACCAACTTGATTCCTTTGGTACCACCATCCGATCCTTCTCGAACATGTACATGACGAATTTCTCCAGTTTGCCTAGATTCTCCTTGTACGTTTCATTCTTCACCACCCGCTCGTTGTTCACGTCCGCTAGGAAATTGCTATGCTTGAGGTACTCCTCCATTTCGCTGGGTTCGGGGTCCCGGAAATACTGCGCGGGGACGAGCCGGCCCTGCACGAAGGTTGACCATCGGCCGGAGCGGAGGAGGGCTTCCGCCCCCCGGCAGATGAAGTCGTTCCAGGCGCAGGATTGGAATTGAGAGATGCCGTTGTGTTGGCTGCCCAGGGTGATGAGCGTGCGGACGGGCGGAACGTTGCAGCGTTCGATGTAGCCGCGCAGGAATTGCCCGCCTTGGGAGAAGCCCAGGGCGTTAATGGCCGGGGCGGTGGAGAGGATGGGGTCCTGGAGGAGTTGGGAGCAGACCGAGGCGATTTGTTCTGTGAGGTTGCCTAGGAAGGTTGCTTGGCGGTCGCCGGCGCTGCTGGGGGAGAGGTGGATTAGGTAGGTGTAGGTTCCGGGGTTGGCGTCTTCGGCGACTTTGATTAGGTGTTGCAGCGAGGGGCTCTGGTATTGGTCGCCGAGGCCGTGCCAGATTACGAGGGGGAGGGCGCGGAGTTCGGTTGTAGTGTTGGTTGTGCTGGTGGTTGTGGTTTGAAGTTGGTGGGTTGGGTGGGCGGTTGTGAAGGGGAGGAGGGGCAGAAGGGTGAGGAGTGGTGTTAGGGGACGCATTTTGTGGTCACAGTGTGAGATGGAGCTCGGTAGTTGTAGGTGGGAGGAAGATAAGATGAAGGTTGAGATGGATGTATAGTACTGGTGTTGGTGTTGTTGTTGTACCTGCGGAGATGCGGAGACAGGTGGATGTCACGTTGTCGGGGCTGGCTCCCGGTGCCTGACGTAAGATCGGCATGTGACTGACGATTTAACGGGTCACTATGGAGCTCATTATCATTTTAGAGTGCTTTATAGCTACTCGATTCTTATCAACACTTAAAGGATAAACGTAGAGCAGTGACATGCTTATCACGTCGTGTAGTACAAGTGGATCATAAGATGATGTCCTGTTGAATTAGGCTCATGTGCCTGGACCTAGTTGTGTAAACTACGTCGATTGGTCCATTCTTGGGCGGGCCGATCCTCTGCGTGCCTCCCAGGAAACGTCCGTTCTGGTCCTGCTGTTCTTGAAAGGGGAGAAGCGCATGCCTGATCGATGTATATTCTCCCGGTCCTTGGCGCTACGGTAACCTTGCTGAACTTGACCGTATTCGGTGAAAATGCAAAGTCATCTGGTCGACGGAGATTTGTCTCGAACGGATAGTGATCCGTTGATATATAATTGTTAGCCTCACGAAACGTGGTGGCGGAACATGTGAAGTCGTGTTGAGCCTGCTGTTTTCCGTGCTCAACTTGCTTACTAGTAGCGAATAGACTACCATCAAGATCGACAGCCTGGCCAAAGATTATCAGAGGGGGTGTGGTCGGTTTTCTTGATAGAGGAGCGAGCCTGGTGCTTCGTAATCTAGATTCACTGGGCACCTTATCAATCTGTCCCTTATCTGTCTTTTGTGACATAACTCGTAGTATGTTGTGGCGGGGCTCTGGGAGCCAACCATAACTGGAGTGATTCAATGTCGATGAAGTGCTCATGGACTCTTGCGCAGACATCTGCCGTCTACTGTCATTTGCAGTTGGTGAAGATAGTTCAGGGTTCAAAAGGCTCTGAGAAAAATGATGAGCGGTTGAGTAACTGTCTCTTTCCAGGGATGTGCCATAGGCGGCCTTTATCCATTCCTCTTCGGCAAGTATCTGGTCATCTATCGTGAATCGTCGCCTGATCGGAGTCCCTGCTTCTTGAACCTTTGGGCTAGTGTCTGCTGACTGTAGAGCTTCTGAACCTGTAACCTGGAACTGCTCCTTGCCAGGAGAATTGTCAACGAGATAGTCCGGGTCCCGGACTATGGAATTTCCCTGGGTGGACAATCCTCTCTCAGAGGACGACACACATGAAGCTGGGATGCTCGAAGAGTCTAGGATCCAAGACCTGTCACCGATTGAGCTCCTAACGCCGACGTTCTCATAGACATACTCATGCACAAGTGGCTTTGGCGTTGTGGGAGGTGACTCCTGGTCCAGAAGCATTGACTGCGATGTAGCATCAGTTGGTGGGCCATGAAACCCCGGATAGTTAGCTCCAACAGGTTGGCCATTGATTCTTATGTCCAGGTCTTGTATGCTCTCCTCTGACTCCGCACCTCTGCGGTGCTTGGGGCGGTAGGTAAGCTTTGGACGCAGAACAGAAGACCCGAGCCTCTCACGGTCATCATTCGTTATTTTTCTCCGCCTCCCAAATCTTTGTAAAGCTTCTACAGGAGGGAATAGCACCGTGAGTGGCCGTGCTGCTGCAACCGTTGCCCAGTCAGCCTTCTCTAGCAGTTCATGCTTGATCCGTGCTAAGTCGTGAGCTGCTGGTGAGGACTCCTGTACAGTCGATACGAGACGTGGTTTCTTAGTGGGGTAGGAGAGAGAGGAACTATAGCTAGACTTGATCGTAAATTAGCATCAAGGACTAACAGGATCCACGGACGTACTCTACCTGCTGGCTTGGATGATGTATTGGCTTGCTGCATGGTTCTCTAGCTCGAATGCCTTCGAGGCAGATATTCTTAACTAGGGAAGTCGTGAAAGGGTCTTTCGTCTCTGCTATTCTTGATCTCCTGAAGTTTTTCTTTTTGTTTCCTGTATTATTGCTCGAGTGTCGTCGAAGACGACCTCCAGTCCAATTCATGTTGCGTTTGACTCTGCAAAGATGGCAAGATGATCTAGGGAAACTTCAACAGAGACACGAGAGAAGTATGTAACGGCGTGCGGAATGAGCGTCATGTGATGTATGATGAATACACAGGTAAGGTCAAAAAGCATCCACTTGTCAAGTTTACGGTAGAATAATATCACTACGAGTATGGTATTGGGACCGAGGACCAGGCCGCCAACACAACAACAGCTACATCGGGAACTGGACACAATTGGAAATAACTGATTATGCTTGTGACCTAGGGAGCTTTCATAATCGTTGATTGTGCCCAAGCAGCTACGTTCGCAAAACACGTTCATCGAGAGTTCGAGTGAGTGGGCGTATAGGAGCCGGAAGGAGGTCGTCAGGGTATCACAACGCATGCTCTGATGAGGCCGCATAATGTGTATAGCGACCCAGAGCACAGCTTTATGATTAGATTATGTGATCTTATTTGTGTACAAGACGAATTGGACAACTTACCACATGAGGTATGGTGAAGTCCATAGACTAGCATCATTAGGACTCTCGTCTAAGCAAGACATCTGGAAACGGCTCGGCCCGGCAAACGACCCAGGTCACTACCGTAGAACTTGGGCGTCACTAATTTAGCTTCATCTTTGATCATCGGAACCTCGGCTTGAGTGGGGGTGCAATCCGTGCAAACATATCACGTGCATGATTCGCTTCGGCGGCTCTTAAAATATCTTCCCACATGCCAAATTCTTTTCCCTTTCTTCTTGACACCACGCAGACGACAACGGACACGCCAGAGGTGGCAAAGATGGTGCCTGCATCATCTTATTTGCTTGCTCGGAAGCAGACATGAGGAGTTCATTGGCCTTGCTTTGATGTAGGCGGGTTTCTGAAACTGTTTCGTGTCAGCGACGCGACCAGCTGGCA